CGTTTTTTATTATCATTTGATCATTGTTTTGTTTTAAGAGTAGATTTTCTTGTTTTAATATTGTATTATCTTGTTTTAATGTTGTATTATCTTGTTTTAATTGTGCATTTTCTTTTTTAATTATTTGATTATCATTACGTAAATCTTCAATTTGTTTCACCAAGTTCTTTGCTTGTTCCAAAATACTTTGTAGTAATTGTGTTGAAGACATTGTTATTGATTGATCAAAATTTGTACTCTGAAATCATAAGAATATAATTGATTAGTTGAAAAGAAATTAATAAATCGAAAACAAAAATGGTTTAAGATTAGATTCAGAATATGTTCATCTCTAGTAATTATTGATACCTGTTATATGAAGAATCATTTTTGTACTTGTGATAAAAATCTATAAACTCAAGTGATATAAAGATTTTTTTGTAAAGAAACTATATTTTAGCATAGTATAAACTAATTACAGAACGTTTCTCAGTTTGAAATCACTTTCAAGTTGGGATTATATGCACCGTATAGGATTTAATCATCTATGAATACGATGGAAAGAGTTCTGAGTAATAGTTTATTATTACTGAGATATTATATTTTGAGGATTTTTTGGTCAATAGAATGCCATGACTTACTAAGAAAATCTGAATTTCGAATTTTGACTTGAAACATTGCATATAAACAGGTGTTAATAAAAATAGATTAGTATAAAAGTTTGAGATCTTTTTATTGTTTCTAACCTTATGTAAGGCTGCAGGAAAAACATGTTTTTTTTTAAGTAGCTTATTTAGAACGATAAATTGTTATGTTTTTATTTTCGAATAGATACATTAAAAAAAATGTAAAACTTTTCCAATAATCTATTGTCATGAAGAACTGTTATCTCTGTGCTAAGTTTCAAATCGGAATTCGAAAATAAGTTTTCTTTGGTTTCTTAGCGGTACTATGATTTTGATTTAAAAAGCATCCTAAAAATGCTGTGTCATTCTAATAATTGGCTAACAAGATGAATTTTTGCCAGGATATTCATAATTCATTAAGATCTACATGATGCATGGTTTCTTTACTATAAAGTAATTAATCCGCTGAAAGAACTTTTATTGTCATGATTAAACTAATTTCAAAGTTTCTTTTAATTGCCAATAAATTTCTTTTCCCCTATTTTATCAATCGAAGAGTGGAGCTTTGTAAATTATCGTTATTTGAAGAGACGATAGACTAACGTTTGAAAGTTATGTATGGTTTTTTATTTAAAGGTGTTTTAAAAATAGCTGTATATTGAGACATCTTCTAAAATGACTGTTTTATGAAATGAGCTTGTGCTAACTCCTTTTTCTATTGGATGCCGAAAAAAGTTTGGTTACAATTTTATGTCCAATGGAGTACTATACTCATGTTAGTCGTATTTCAAGATGCATTATTGAACATACATCTTTATATTCGACTCTTTCTCTTAATCTTTTTTTTGTTTAGAAAAAAATATTTTTTGATGAAAAATGAATCAAGAACATTCAAACATTTTTTTTAGTCGATATCTACCGTGTCTTCAATTATTTGTTGCTCGCTCGTTCTGAACGATGAATGTATTATATTAATAGATTAACTATAAAATTGTGCTTTTTTTCTTTTTATGTACCATCATGCAAACTTTTTCATTTCTGCTTATTGTACGTTATTGGAAATTCAATGTAATTTTTTGTTAAACTTATCTTTTACGCTATTATGCATTTTGCTTGAATTTCGAAATAAAAGTAGAACAAGAAAAACGAAGACTATCATGTTGCCGTTCAAATAGACTGCAATTGTATTACAAGGATCAGGCAGGAAGTTCAAGAGAAATGATTGAGGCAAGAATTCAAGGAAAAGTATAGAAAAAGGTTGTTGACTGATAAATACGAAAAATAAGATTCTGGAAAGAATGATGGGAAGAATATTAATTAGTACACTTACTTCGTTAATCGAAGAAGATGAACAAACCAACTGTAAATTAGATGATCTATAACAAATATAAAAACATATTCAAGGATTCAACCAAATAATTTTTTCGAAAATGAAAATCATGTCATTTTTAGGAAAGTCAATTTATGTTTACTTTATGAAATAATAATTCTAACTAAGTTTTCTATTTTAAACAAATAAAGATTTCTCTCCGTAAGAGATTAATAGATAAATATCGTGTATAACAACAAGATATGTTAATGTTAATTTTTTCTTATCATTTTCAACACATTGATATGTGTCATTGTTCAAAATGGGGATAATATATGAAAACATATATGCAAAATATTTTGTCTTTATACATTTTTGTATTTACAATACTATCAGTTTTTGTGAGTTAGCTACAGAAAATAAAGATTAGGTTTTATAAAAAAAAAAAAAAAAAAATTCTTATTCATTTTAATTATGTTTGTTTTCTTTTCGATTAAGAATTGATTCATCTTTATTTTATAAGGAAAAATATTTGATTTTTATTTATTATTTATCGTAAAGAAAAAGAAAATTATATAAACATCCAGATCTAAGAGGGTCATTCTTAAAAGAGATATTTTTCACATATAGATTGTTCTATTGAAATCATCATAGCTATCCAAATACATCTCACCTATTTACATGATTCAAATAGCAGTTTAATCGATTCTATCGCTATTTTATCAACCGCAAAGCTATTTTAAACGTGCCGTTAAATATTTTAAGAAGTTGCAGTTGTTTATTCAACGTTACTGATTGTTCTCGAGAAGGAGATTAGGAATTTAGATGCACATATTTGGCTGGTCAGTTGTTTGAACGCCAACACTGCATACATATTTTCAGCTTTAAGAAATCTTTGTATCTATTTAAATCACTAGTATAATAATTCAAACAATTCCGGAGATTTCTAAGCATTGAGAATGATTTGAATAACAATGAGGATGATTTATATAACTGAAATAATGAGAAAAACGAATTTAGAAAACTTCGAAACAGCTAAAGGCTTATTTAAATCGAAGAATGCTTATTTAAAAATTGTCTCTTTTGTGAAGCTACTGCTCTTAGTAATTTCAATTATATTCATAATTGTGCCATGAGAGACATAAAAAATTGTAGTTTTTCTTCCATTTCAAGTAGATGTATCATAAACATAGTTTTTAATTATTTGAAATAACAATTTTTATTTCTTATCTTTAGTTAACTTTTTTTTTCAAATCTACGTATTTACATACTTAACTAACTCTTCTTTTTCGTTCAAAAAACGTTTTGCCCTTTGCTCATCTGTTGTTTTTTTGGCGTATTGACGTTTTTTCCCATGATCATAACCATTGTTTGTTGCATTCTGCATTCAAAGACTTAATACTAAAATAACAAACAAATTTTGATTATGTAAAAGATATCAAGGACAAATTCAAACAAATTCATATGCACAGAATTCGAAATCACACTGTCTTTTCGAATAGCGATATGTTCTTATTGTTTATTTTTCTTCTTTTCTATTTCTTTCTTTTCTTTCGACATCCATCACTACTAACTATTTTATAAATGACAGAATATAAACCGATCATTATAACTGCAAACAAAGCCCATGGACAAATACACTTATCGACCTCCCCCCTCATCTATTAACCTAATTCGACTAATTAGCCACTGGAGATTTCATTAAAAGTATTCCCAAGGGCCCCAGACCAATAGTTTAAGAGATAATCCCAATTTTAAAAAAGTTGAAAACAGATGGCGCCACAGTCGGCTCAAATGAGAGACAAATATACCTAAACATTATCACAACAAGCAAAATATCTAAGTGAATGAAAGCAAACAACAAAAGATACATATGTATGTCCAGCCTAACATTTTGGTACAATGCTCAACAGCATTGTTTTTTTCTAAAGAATGGGACCCGTCACTGGCAACATTTAACCTTCTATATAACTAAATTATTGGAAAAAAAAATTAGTTTTATTGTCAAACGTATCTAAGTATGTTGCTGATGTTGAGGTTTGATTAGTTTAGATGAGATTCGTTCACAGTGAAATTTACCACTAGCATAGTTATTAATCTCAAGCTAACTTCAATGAATACGGTTATCTTGCGAAGAAACAGTTCATAGGAAACCAGTAATTAAATACATATTGTGTGTTTTATTTTATGTCTGTTTCCAAAGATGTCTTTAAATCTTATTGAGAAAAGAAATATATTCTTAGATCCATCAGAAGTGTTCACAGAACAAACCCCGACGTGTATACATGAAGTTATGTTTTCTTTAATTATGAAAAACTGTTTTGTGATAAAAACCTTTCTGAATTTCTAGAACAAAGTCAAAGGTGAAAGGACCTTTTAATTAATATGCAACGGAATTTTATCCGTATGTGTTTCTATTTTACAAACATCTCTTCATGTGTTACACGCGCAAATGTATACTGTGTCCATTAGATCCTATGGCCATGACAACGTCTTTTTCGTATAGAGAACCTAAAGAATTTTTTCATAGTAAGCTGCAAAGGAGCACTAAAATGATTCCACGATATGTATTCAATAAAGAAACACATTCTTTAATAGACTGTTATTTTGTATTAACTGTTTCTCAAGATATTTCTAACTCAGAATTAACATTTCATTATGAAGAAGCAAGAGAAATATCGTCTATACTGAACTTAGATATCGTTATGGAATTAAAAAATAAAAATGTCAATAAGCTCCCACATTTATTTTTAAAAAACCGACTTTCTGAAAGGGGATCTTCTAATATATCTGTTGCTTTATTTATCCAAGAAGATCTTCTAATGTATCGATAGTTTTAAATTATATGAGAAGAAATAAAAGCATGATGAAAGAACAAAATAGAAATGAAAATTTTTACGTTGATTCTTTATCATGATTTGTTGCTTGTCCTACAATTTCATCTTCAGTTATAAATGTTTTTTTCACGACAAACATGAATAACATCAATAAATGTATGATATACAGATCGAACATTTCTTGTTTTAGAATTAATCCGAAGTGATACTGTTCGAAATATATCAGTTACTGGTACACTAAATTAGAAAACAATGATCGTCAATTAGAGATAAAAAAGAACAATGTTGGTAACCAAATTCTGCATTATATCAAGTTGCTTTAAATAAAACTATGTCAATGTAAAAGTGGAAAAAATCTATATGTTCATTACTAGCATAGCTTTAGATTCTTAAATTAGTAGAAGAAAAATTTTAAAAAAACATCACGTCAAGAATATTGCAGAATATTTTACATTTGATATTTCATCTGAATCTTGATATCGGAGCGTAAGTTTCTACTTAAACGTTTAAAAAATGATCTTGAAAATTACTTTTAGCTATAAGTCAATCTAGAGAGCTGCTAAAAAAAAGCTTTTTTTTGTTTTTTTCAATCACTCAGTCTTGATAAAATTCTCAGAGAACAAGTATCTCGTGTTAAATATCACATAGCAAAAAATTCAGCTCGATATATTGAACTGATGACGAGTTAACTTATGATTTTGAGTGAAAAATATAGCTATCCATACGTATCACAGTTGTCAGCCAATTTGAATATCATAAAGTTCTGGTCGATTTTAAAATACAGCAAAAACATGACAATAGAAATGAAGAGAGGCCGGTTTTTCTATTTTTCTCCTTGAAACCTCATCTAATAAAATACGAAAAAAAAATCAGGTGTGGATCAAGAACACATTATTTTTAAAGTTTATTGTTATCTTCATTTAGACATTAAAGCAAGTTTTCAAAATAACGAAGAAATCTAAGAAGAACAAAACCGTCAAAAATTGAAAAAAAACCTATAAAGTGTAATTCTTCAGTTCACCCATATATTCATTTTATTGTGCGTTTTTCCATGTTGAAGTGTTGTATGTACGTATCATAATTAGTGAGATATGATAATCATGTTTATCACTATCCAAAGTCAACAGAGAAGATTGAAAGACTTTAAAAACCTATGTAATATCATAGAATTTTATCATAGAATTAATAAACTAGAGTGTATTTGAGAATAAACACTTTACTCTATCTAACAAGTTACAAAGTATAAAACTAATAAATTTGAATTTTTCCCGTGTTTAATAAAATAATCATCTCTAGATACTTACCGATCACCAAGTTGTACTGCATAAATTAGATAATTATGTGCTACAATAGTAATTGTTACTGGTGTTTGATCAGCGGGCATTTTCTCTTTAGAAAAAAAAAACAAAGCAAGTAACCAAATAAATTATCCTATTTATTTTTTACCGGTTGTTTCTTGTTATTTAATAAATTGTTTATCAGCAAATAATAATCGATTATGAATAAGTTCAAATGAATGTATTGTATTACATGATGTACATATAGTTGGTTCAATAATTGTTTCACGATTAATTTCAACTTAAATAAGAAAACTAAATGTATTACATGTAAAATATACTGAACACATTTCAATCATAATTCATGATGATTGTATAACCATGCCTGTTAGACTAACTAATTTATCAATATCTAAATTAAAGTAAGCCCAAACATTAATTAAAAGGCGTAACCTTCTTCGAACAATATTTGATTATGCGTCAGAGGTTCTGTAGTTCTTAGTTCTCCAGTAGCAAGAGTAATAATGTTATTTTATTTTATTTTGATTTCAACGATGATACATTAGGCTGTTTCAAAGATGTACCCAATTGTGATTTCGATTCATTATCCCACTTTTGTAGTTTTTGAAAATAATAGTATTTGTTGTATTGATGAATTTGATAAAATTAGTAAAAATGCTCGATCAATACTTGATGAAGGTATGATGTGTTACAATTTCTTCTAATTTTGATTTTACTAATAAAATGTATATAAGAACAACAAACATAATTTCAATAATATTCAATCATATATTTTATATGAATATGCAAATACAATTGATGAACTTCATTAGAGAAAGAGAGAATAATTAAATAAATAGAGATTCGACATATGGAGAAAATAAGAAGCAAAGAAAATATAAGAACAAGAAAGACAAACAATGACAACAGTTATGACATGAAAAAAAGAAGAATATTATAGTGATCGTTCTTTCTGTGATTTTTCGACAGAACGAAGATATCAGTCTTTAGCATTCATCATCATCATCATTCTTACAAGTAACATTTGTGAATGTATCAAAAAATTTCAGTTAAAGTCCCAAATTTTTCGAGTCAATATCTTGGAAATATTTTAAGTTCTTGTTTAGTTCATCGTTTTTTATTATCATTTGATCATTGTTTTGTTTTAAGAGTAGATTT